GGGGACATCCTGATGGACAGACTGGCGGTGACAGTATAACCTTGGCAGTTAGCAGGCCTGGGTTCAAATAATGTTTGGGAATTCCGATCTGTCCATTGCACTCACTATCATTAACAGCGCCATGCACCTGGCATATGTTGATACAGTCGTTAGTTGCATGTATCACATCCTCAATGAAGCGATCTTTTTCTAGTTTCCTACCATCAGGAAGAGTGAATAGCGGATCATGGGGTGAAGTAAACTGGGCGTTTGAACCGGCTACCGCAAGGATCAAACCCAAGGTTTCCCACCGCAAGTTCTTCCCGGTTATCAAGGTATGGAATGCCGACGGGAGCATTGTTGAAGGAACCTTCAGAGGCCGAGCAGTATTCTTCGTCATTGCAGCATACAACAAATGTGAATCCGGTCCTGGCGTACCGAGATGCTCTAAATCCTGTCGGAGTTGAGGCAGGATGGAAAGAATCAACGGTCCGATCAGAGCAGATGCTTTGTTGGTATCAAAGTACATTTTCACCGACTTTTCGAAAAAGTCAAAAGGATTCAAGGTGGATACAATAGACGCGCCAATACCAAACTGACAATGTCGACTTCCAATAGTTTGGCTAGACGTCGAGGGAGTGACACTTAGCCGTTCTGATGGCTGTTCATGCACAGTGTCTGGCAAGGCACCCCGGTTCTCAGTAAACACAGCTGCATAGCTTGTAGATCCTAGGTAAAAGCTCCTGGTAGGATCCGAAGGTAGCTGGTTGGCTCTACTAGCACTCTCCGGTGGTGTCGGCCATGTGTTTGTGATGGGTCCTGTGTTGACATCATTTCTTAGAGTTGGAGGACTCAACGTCAACGAACTGAGCCGTCCATGATGTTGGGCTGATCGCGCTTCGGAGTTGGCTTTTCGACGACGAGGCTCTGGCTTCTTCCGTGGCGTGCCCGCAGGCTTAGTCATTGGATTTGGGTGATAGAAACACTTGAACAATCCATTAGGCGAGAGCATACGAGAATTGCGTCTCTGGCTTACTTGATCGACGATGCCACGAGTTTGGCACTTTGAACACGTTGGTGTTGCGTGGTCACACTTGATCTTCGAGATTCGGCATGGCTCACAGGACCTTGGTGGACGATGGTCAGGACTCGGCCTTGCTTGAGACGGTTCGGAGTAATCAAGTGTACTACCTGGGCTTTCCGTTTCTTCGCAGCTGGCTTGCCATGGTGACTGTTTAAAGAGGCTTCCTCGTGGAGCAAACAGTTCATGAGAGATTCACGACGGGCGCGTCTCATGGGTGTCCAACCAGCCGATACAGTTTGCTCCGATGACCATGACTCCGTGGCCTGTCCATCCCAAACTCCGAATGTCATTAGCGGCTGACTCCCATTGGCTGGACTTTCTTCGGAATATCTCGGACTCGGCCTCTCGACACTACCAAGTACACACACGACAGCAGATGTCATAGAATGTCCTCTACATGGAACCATTCTATTATACACAGTGCCATTGCAATTTGTCGACAATCATTCCACTTACTCATCACGTACACACACAGATCGAGACACTGCAGAGAGACAATAGAGATCTAATACTACAAGTGGCCGTCAAGCGCAAGCGTTCTGCCAACATCTACGGTAGAATACCACGTCTGAATGTCGCGCCAGTCGTCTCTTTCGCTGCTCGACCAGCTGTGCCATGGTAAGAACATGATCTTTGCAAGGATAGCGCGCGGCGGATAGCTTGATACGTCGCTGTACCTACTCTAGGGAACGTTGCGCTCATGTTTGGCGTTTCAGCAAGGCAGAATTGGGGGAATCTGCCTGTACATGTGCTTGCGGGGACGCCGCTTTCCGCTCCGTTTACCCCGCCCACTCACCTCCACCAACCAACCGACTTCTCCATCCATTGCCGTCGTCATGCTGAGTACATCACCGCCACCACCAAATGGCTGACGTTTCAAGCATTTATTCACCAATTGGCACTCTTCCCATGTACGCTTCAATGTACGCTTCATGGCGGGATTGCATCACGCCGCGGTAGCCGCCTCGACATATTCTTCTCTATTGGTGCTCGCCAGATGTGATGCGCTGGCAATCACGAGTTTCATTCCCAGCACCGTTGTACTCCGCTGCTGCAGCCCGCCATGGAAAATAGGGAAGAATTGGCGTGGCATGCATTATCACGGGAACGATTGGCTTCAGCTCTTCACACATGTCACCATCCTCACAGAGCAACTCTTTCACCGGTGGTACCAGAGCCGCACTGGAGCCAGCTCACTTTCCGCTGGACGCTCCCTCAGTACCTACGGTAGCAGTGGCATCTGCTTTTCGTCTCACGAAGCACTGCCTTCATGCACGAGGGGCTGAAAAACATGTCCTGCGCCTCCCTAGGCCATAGCCCATCCAAGTTTCTTTGAATGTCTCATAGGTACTCGATGGATCAACGCAGGTTCAAGCAAAAGAATTGCGAAACACATCTCAGCAGCCCGCTCGGGGCTTTGTTCCTTCTGCCAAACATTTGGTGGTTTTGCAACACTACGCGACCAGCCGTTATGGGGTTTGGTGCGATCGGACGCTGTGCAATTTCATGCAGCTAGACCCAATGGCGGCAGCATGGGTGTTCACCGGTTTTCGTGGGGCAGCGTAAGATGGGCTCGACACCCGTCAGATGAGTACCCCGTCAGACGCTGAACACTCAGCCGCACTGAAACTGACTCTTTTTGCGCACTCAACCTTGAGTTGTGGTGGACGTCCTCTATCACGGCCGGAACATTGCGTTCATTGCTCTCCATCTTGCCCTCTTTGCGCGTTGTCCGGGGCGGATTCGCGCGGTTGGCCCTTCGTGACTTCAGGGTGATCAGACCGTGAGTCGGCGCTGGCGCCTCGATCTGCTAGGCTTGAACAGCCGCCTCTCTGATGGGCAAGGACTAACGGGTACCTAAATCCTATCCAGCGGTCTGTAGTTGCCATTTGCGCGTCATGGCCACTTTTCAGCAATACCCACAGCAGCATGAGCTTCCTCTCTTTCAGAACTTACATACGTTCCCTCTGGATCAATATGGGTTCCCACGGTCGAAGACGCCGACAGAATCACTAGTGAATCACACTGGATACTCTCCAGGTCCGCTCATAACTACGCCGCCTATCAGCCGCAACCCGTCGCAACCACCGGAACCATCCCAAGACTACACATCGGAGCCATTGCCATGGGACAATGGCAGCTTCTCCAACTCTCCCACCTCCGTGATGACTCCGGACCCTGAATCCATGGAGGTGGAAATGATAGACAGCTCTCAATTCTTCTACCCGCATCACGCGCAGAACATGTCCACCCAGGCTACCCACGGCGCCGTCTCAGCCATGGATACAAACATGTTCATATCGGGTCAGGATGTAATCAGCGATCAGGGTATGTTCTTTTGTTCATCTGGTAAGCTATTTGCTGATCGGAACAGCTGTGGATGCGGCCTTCCACGATACCTTGCTATCCGAATCCGAGCGATACCAGCATCAGTATGGTATGCAAGATCAGCAACTACATCCCATGGCGCTGCCACAGTATCAGCATTATGACACCCAACCGCTTCAACATGATCCATGGAATGGTCAAGGACCTGCTAGGTCTACTATTGTTCCGCGATCCGGCCACGTCATGTTTGATCCAGCTACTGAACAGTTGATCTCTTCTGGGTACGTGACTAACGTGGATACTTGGAGAATGAATCACCCCGAGCCGTCATACTTAATCTCACCGAGCGAGCCTACTATGCCACCACAAGACAACTTTTACTTCGCAACAGCACAGCATCTCGCCCAAAGCTCCCAGAATCAGATCCCGCGTACGCAGATGGCGAATCAGCTTCCGATAGAAATGCATCTAACAAGGGCATCGCCCCCACCAGATAACCAGGGTTTCATTAATTACGACGCTTCTTCTCCATTTTTCAGCGACTACCACACATCTAGCAACAACTTACCCTCTTCGTTGACGCGCACAGCTGGGAGCCATGTAGCACCATATGAGCCTGTCATCAGCCCAACCGTTGCAAGTCCAATTGGTTCCGAGGATATGCTGTCATCGTACACGCAGTCGGAGTCCGGAGTATCGGCAGACCGTTACTTCTCGAATCAGTTCATGCAAGGAGAAGTTATGCCATCCCAGACCTTGCAAGCGGATTATCTTCCTGACAGGAGTATGCCAGAGGCGACTTTCGACGCTTCCCCTGAGCCAGAGACGGCTCAAAGTGCAGCAGCCAAAGCTTTAGCCAAGTCTGGAGGTAGAGCACTTGGAACTCATCTTGAGCCTCAGGTCGCCAAAGCAGCACATGACATGCGGAGGATTGTGGCGTGCTGGCACTGTGTGCTACAAAGAGACAAGTGTGGCCCCGGTGAGATTTGTGAACGGTGCCTTAAGCGGTCTCAACGCCCGAATGCGGATCGTGGCCTAGGATGCTGTCGTATTAAGCTCGTCGATTTATCCGCATACTTTCTTCCCGCACTTGTCACGCAAATGCACGAAGACTCGAACCTTACTCACTTCGTAACCCAATACATTCATCAATGGGGCAATGTTGAACTCGAAGTTTACATGACCTGCGGACAAGATGGCATGCCGAGGATTCCCGTCAAAGTTTATGAATTTTCGCCACGAGGAAATGCGCTATTGGTACAGATACAGTACAACACTGACCCGAATACTCATCAGAGGGTGGCTGTCGAGAAGAAGAGCCCGGCATTGGGGATGGTGCATATCAACTATAACGAGGAAAAGAAGTACGACAAATACATTACTGACATTGTGGACCATCACTTGGACGCCTTTGGCGAACTCTGCTGGAAAGAAGATGACAATGACTTTCAACAAAAGTTGTTTAAGCTCATGACGAGAGTAAAAGCAAAGAACGAAGACGAAGCAAGATTACTTCACGAAGTCTTCCGCCTCGTTGTAGTCACGTACATCATGTCACACACCCTCACCATTGCAGAGGAGACCAAAGTTGCGACGCTCTCTCGCATGCGGTCCTATGGCGGCCAAAACTCTTACGTCGAGAACTACACATCACCACGAATGACGAATCGCCAATTGAAGTACTTCTTCTCGCGCCTACAACGCTCAATCCAGACTACTGTCCTCAACAAACTTCAGCAAATCTTCAAGTCGTCGAAAGGCTGTGACAAGTGGCTGGCAGCCTTTGTTACCGTACTAGGCATGTGCATGGCGCTGGAGGACCAACAGAAGACCATTCACCTCGTCATGGAAACCAAAGCTCGAACCGAGGGCATCGACCACAGAGATGCACAAGGTCAAGCAGACATTGCAAATCGCGAGATTGACGCCAGAATACACTTTGTCCAGCAGATTTTCCGCTGGAAGTACAATCGCAAGTGTAACCCCATTCGCGACGCTGATCACGCGTGGGACAAGGAGGTCGGATTTGGAGACTCGTCAAGCGTCAATTTTGTTCGCCAAGTCGTGCAACTGGTAAAGGACAATAGTAAGACGGACTGAACCGAGGGATTGAAACTTGCTGACGGTTGAAATAGCCGATTACCTACAAGGGCGACAACAAGTCAGCATCTCACCAGCCAATCAGACAAAGTACACCGCCCGGCTCGTTGGCCAGTTCTTGCTTTCCTTCTACATGCCCAACGCTTGAACTTGTCCTGCACCTGACAATTTGATTTCTTCCTCGTCCTTGAGGCTCACCTGAAAAGCCTCGGACACTTTCAGCCTACTCGCATGGCCCTACGTTTACGAGTCACACGGACAGCACATATTTTGTTGCTTTTGGAGTTTTTACAGCGCACGGCATGGCTATTCTATTTTTTTCCCCCCTTTGAAAAGTCCCACAATACGTTGGAAATACATCCATGCTGGTGAAGGCGAAATGACGGTTCTTTGAAACGACGTTTACGACTATTTTTTATACCCTTTTGGATATCTTGTCCATTTTGTGTTTTGTTAGGTTTGCAACATGTGCCATGGTCTGAGGGTTCGGGCTGTGCCTTGATGCCCCTCGAGATAGCATGTTGACGTCCTTTAGCATACATGTTTTTTTTTACCCCGGCTTCAAAAGCACTGTTTTCCCCTCAGGCATCATGTGTGGAGAGTTACTCGAGTTGGTGACGTGACGTCGCTGGTTCTTAACCGGTCACTGTGGGGGTTTTCATTTTCAAGGCCCGAGATGTGAGTTGTGGCGCGCGCGCTACTAGGATGCTTACAGCTTGACCGGTGAAAGGGACTATGGCTCAGCTGCGCATTTTCAGGAGTGCGCCTTGGTTGTGCGGGGCCGGGCCGGAGGTTTTGGTGCAAGTGTATGTGTATGTGTATGTGTATGTGCGTGATAGGCGCAGGATAGTCGGTTTGATGTTTGATAAACAGCTCATGACCTGCATTGGTGCGTGTATCCAATGTAATATAATATCACTGACAGCCGTGCAGCCAGGCGAGGGGCGGTATCATTCCATCTCACTCACTCGAACAACTGCACTCCTCCACCCCCCAATCCAACCTATTATAAACACCACCACCACCACCACTCACCCCTCCCGCCCCTCGCGCTCCAAAACCCCCACACAATCCCCCAACAACCCCATCAGCCGCCGCTGCACACTCCGCCCCGCAGGCGTATCCGCATGTCTCCCTGCCCCCCACCCAAACGGCAAAATCAGCCTGCGCCGCCCCTGCCGGTCAATCACGACCAGCGCGTCGAGCGGGAAGGTGCCGCCGCCTAGCGGGTGCATGAGACCCAGGCGCACAAAGTGGTTGCAGGTGGGTGTGGCGGCTTGGAGGAGGGGCAGGGAAAAGGGGGCGCGCGGGGAGATGCGGTGGGTCGAGGGGTCGTGGCAGAGGAGGAGGGGTTGGAGGGTTGGGGAGAGGGTGTAGAGGAATGGCAAGGCTGTGCTGTTTGTGTGTTTGTCAATGTGAGAGTATGTAATGGAAAATGGAAACACGTACCAGAGTAATTCATAATGGAGTTGTAAATTCCCTTGTACACAGAGAATCAACATGGACTCTCCTTTTCTATAGCGCGCCCAGTTGTCGTGTGCGGGTAGCGAGCTGTTTGGCGGCATGGCGAGGCGCGTGCTCGAGAGCAGGGCGTCCGTGTCAAACGGCCAGGCCTCTTTGGGCGTGGCGATGCAGAGCTCGTCTAGGTCGCATTGGGTGCGTGTCCGTTTGAGGGTATCGGTGGGTGGTGGGGAGAGGGCGGAGGCGGAGGCGCGCTCGTGAGCTTGTGGGATGGGCGTTGGGATGTGGGCGTGGGCGGGTTGGTGGCCATGATCGAGGTCGTCGTCTGGGTCGAGGGCGATGCGTGAGCGTTTTCGACTGAGGGGTGCAACGGTGGTCATGCTCTTGGGGTTCTTGGGGGATGGCGAGGATGAGACATGCAGATGTGCTATGCTTTGCCTTTTTTTTTTGTTTTGTTTTGGTGGAAGTAGTTTTGCGGAAGCCGAGGGACGAGGGATTCAAGATGCTTGGTCGGTGCTTGGAGTAGGGCGAAATTTGATGCGCAGGGAATCGAGATAACTACATGGCTGTATTGTGTACTGTGTAAGAAGGGGTGTGTGTATAATATGTGTGGAGTGGAGAGTATGGCGGGAGCATTGAGAGAGCTATGGCTGTCGCGAATTGCGAATAGAGAAGGCGCACGAGCAGTTGTTCCCCAAAGGCGATGCGCCCGCGCGACATGCGATTACATACTCTTACAATCTACCCTGACCTCATTCGACCAAACCAGGGCGGGCGACATTGGGGAAAACTCTCCCCCGCAACAGACCCGACAGCACCGATGTGTGGTTACGGAATTACCCCACCGTCCCCCCAAGTCCAGACTATTCTTTGCTTGACCTGCATAGCGTTGCGTTGCAGTGCAGCCCAGCGCTGTTCTTGACTCGGACCAATGACTTCACAAGACGCGGCGCGAGACGTGAGCAGTAGACTGCGGCAGAGCACTTGGAATGGGAGTATACCGCTGGAAATACGATTGCACAAGGGTGACTGTAGGACGTACGATCAAGGAGATGTGTATTTGGTATTATTACCCGCTTTTTCTTTGGCCTACTTCTTCTTCTTCTTCTTTCTCTGTATCCCAGCGACTGTGGTGGTGGTTCTATGATAGCCTAGTGATGCAAAGACGCTGATGTGGTGATAGATACAATTCCCACGACTCTCGTATCTGGGACTGCTCATCCATAGACTCCATGCTTTCTTCGCAGACAGTCTGATTCATCCTGATGTCTCGCCGTCAGAGGCATGGCTGTCGTATGAAGGTGTACCGCTGAAATGGCATTATCCGCTGGGTTTGCTATATGATCTTTATTCTGGGGCTGAGCCTGCGCATCCATCGGACAGCTTGTCGACATCTTCCAAGACGACGTCTGCGGATGAGGAGCCATCCAAGCTACCGTGGCGTCTGACTGTCCATTTCTCGGATTACCCGACCGAACAGCTCGTTCATCTCGACGAGGAAGGCAAACATCTCCACGACCTGTTCATCCACAGCGTCAAGGAGGCAGACTACCTGCGAACGGGGACGGGCAAGACGGTCATGTTTCTGAGCAAAGAGGACAGCACGCAGCTGTGGGAGTCAGTCAAGAAACACGACTATGCGCTATACAAGCCCGTCAATCAAAAGTTGCTGAATCCCCAGGGTGTGAACCTGAGACATTTGCCTGTACGACTCTATCTCCCTCACGCGGCAGAGGACAAGGCAATCAAGGAGAAGGAGGCCAGCCCAGGTAGTGTCAGGGTTGTGCAGAGCTTGGTAACGCCGAATCTGTCCTCACGTGAGTTTCTTGTCCCCTTCACCGTGGTTTCGAAAGCTTATGATGTGACAGGACAACCACAGACCATCGGCACCGCCCTCAACCAGATCTTGCCCACTCTTTTCCCGAGTAGGAGAAGTCCACTTTTGGCGCAGGCGGTGTTGCATGGCGCTGTTCTGCCACTGAGCGCCAGTGTCGAAGCACTGATCCGAGCGACGGCCTATCTCGACGGCTGGCTGCACATTGCAGTCGTCATGATGGGATAAAGGAGAGAAGGACGAGTTGTGCACGCGTCTGTACGCGTCTCCACAGCCAGGTCGGATGGACTGCTTAGCCTGGAGAGTATGTTATTGGTAAACAAGGATCAACGGTACGGCAGCAGACATGCCGAGGCAGCCTACTGCAGGTGTCCAATGTACGTGCATCGCCAACTTGCTTGCGTCCCGATGTGCCATGGTCCGCCCTAGAGAAAGCGGTTCGAACGGGGGAAGTGTGCATTGGCGGGTGGACAGATTCATGACGGCCAGGGCATCAAACACATCCAGTAGCCACTTTGTTCAAACAGAAAGGCCAGTGAGTCCACGTCCTGCTCGTGCCTGTTGCGCCCCGGATCTTGGCACAAAGCTTAGTGATGATCTCGGCTGCATGTACTCTACAGGAAGGGAGGGCGGGCATCCCAGGCAAGACAGACTGGCCGGAAGTCTGAGCGTTAGAGCCATCTGCGTAGCGCGTGCGGCTGCGAGTCTCGAGGTGAGAAAAATGAGGCATTTCTCCCTTTGCGACCGGGGTTGCCATCTGTCAGGACAGGCGCAGATAAGGAAAGCCGGGGGCGAGGGCCGATGACATAACTCGTGCGAGATGTCTGATGCGCCAGAACAGTTAGTAGCATGAGACATGAGATGGGGCCGAGCGGTATGGTAGCGTCGGCGGTCAGCGTTTTGGTGTGTGTGAAGCTCACCGCAGCCGCGACTGGAGATGGGATCGGTCAACCAGGTACGCGACGACCAAAGGTGTTTGAAATGGGCCATGAAGCTGGAGACTTTGCTGGCTACTGTCTCGCTCTCTCTCTCTCTCTCTCTACACCGTATGTCAGAGGATGTTGTGGATGCCAGCCCACGTCTTTGAACGAAGCCGTGTGGCCGACACAGGTAGGTCATGGGCAGTGGAAACCCCCCATCTTCTCCACAGCCGGCACACAGGCGCACTGATTCCCCGTGACCGTGACCGTGACCGTGACCGTGACTGAACATTTCATTTTTCATTTCACACAGGCGGCCGACAATGGAACTTGCTGTCACCATCGAGTCGAGCTGTGGTGGGAAAGAAGAAGAGGGATTGAGGATACATTCTGGCGCCATTGGCTGGTTTCAGTAGCTTCGACTAGCCACCCCCCCCCCTTCCCCCAAGCTGCTTACAGTTTAGCTTGGGAAGCAAGCAGGGCAAAGCTCTCCCCAGCCTCCTCCAGTCGAGTGACTGACTTGGCTTTGGCCTTTGACCTTCTTCTTCACTTTTCTCCCCCAAACCAACAGCTTCTCCACCAAAACTTGCATCGCCAACTTCCACTGTACCCGCGCTTGTCCATCAACCGCTTGCGCCTTCACACGTAAGTAGCCAGCCTTTTTGTCTGATCCCATCTGCTTTCCCATTTCCATTTCCCATTCCATGTGTATACTCTACATGTGTGCTGTTTGTCCTTCTCTGCTGTGTGCGCGCCAGTGTGTGTGTGTGTGTGTGTGTGTGTCTGTGTGTGGAACTCGCCCGGATGGTCCGCTGGCGCCCGGGGCAACACAGGCCAAACAAAATGCCTCAATGTCCCATCTGCAGAAATTTTCGGCCAACGCGGCGCGCTCATTTAAAAGCCGAGCATGGGGCCTCGTCCGCCCCAAAAAGGTCGACCTTGGATCGATCTTGCCTTTGCCCGCCGTCGACCTCTTGTTCCTCCAGTCCCCCCATCCTCGCTGCTCGCCGAGTCCATTGTCGCGACTGTTCCTGTTGGGTTGATCCGATCGCGCGCTGACCAGCCTTCTTTTCGCATCAACAGCTTCGACAAGCTTCACGCATCTCGTCTCTTGTTTGAGGACCGATTCAATTCGTAAAGGTAAGCTTCCTGTCGACTGCTCCTCGAGCCATGAGCTCCATTGCGCCCGTCACAGACGCAGCTGGCACGACCCGTCCTGTGGTACCTCAGTCGCGCTGGCGTGAGGGATGCGACCATGCTTGGCCGCGCACCTCTTCTTCCTACCAAGCCGTCGCAAGGGGGGCAATGTGACTTCACCTGTCGAGACACGGTCCTCGACATTGCGCTCCAGCTTCTGGGCTTTTCGCTGTCATTGCCATTTCCTGCAGCCTGCTCGTATCTGACCCACTGCCACAGAACCCAACATACACAATGGCCGCCATCGACATGTCCCTCGTCGCTCGCAGCGAGTACGCCCTGCACCAGCTCGTCAAGCGCAAGAACTGGGCCCAGCGTGAGCCCGGTGTCATTGTCGTCCTCGTCATTGTCTTCCTCGTTGCCGTCCTGGTCATCGCCATGTTCATCAACAAGAGAGTACGTCATCTCCTTCCCTCTTCCCACTCCGTATTGGCACAGACCACTAACGCACGACAACAGAGGCAAGCCGCCCAGGCAGGCGTCATCATTTCCAAGTAAAGATACCCCGAGTCGAGTCAAGAGCGACGGCGAAGATGCATAGGGAAGAGTGTGTGCTCTTTGGAGGTTGCGGAAAAAGGAAAGAGACGTATAGCAGCATTGTGTTACGCAATCTCGCCTGGTCATGTCATGGTATGAGTTGCATGGGAATAAGAGCTTGTGTATAATGTGTGTGTGTGTCAGTCATGTACTATGATCGGACGAGGGGAGGCATCAATCTGGATGGAGCCGGTATCCCTTTATCTTCCCTTGTAGGATCGCGCGCGCGCTGTTGTGTAAAACGCGTCCCTGGTGGCAAGGGAATATGTTGGTAATAATGAATAGTCGGATAGAAACCCCAAATGAGCATTCATTCTCCCTCCTTTCACCGTCTTTGCACGACAAAACAGCTAGAGGCTCTATCCAGACCGTGTGCATTGCAGCTTCGCCCGAGCAATCCCGATGTTTGTATCCACGCGGTGACCTGTGCCTTGGACACTATACTACCGGTGTGCAAAGGTACATGTACTCTTTTGACTTGACCTACCTACTGCACACCGACCCGCAGATCCAAAACACGAGCACGCATCCTCATGTCAAGGTTCTGGTCATGGGGTTGTATTCTTTGGAAAAATTCATTTTTTTGAGCCTTTTTTTGGGGGGGCTCATGTCTCTTCTTTAAATTTGTTCTTGCCAATAGTGCCGGTTCGTGGGTAGTATGATGAACCGAACATGTGCAACCCATGAACCCCGGGCTCCTGTCCTCTACGCCCGCTCTCTCCCTTTGCACACAATCTCTCCCTCTCTCCCTCTCCGGGGACAAGAGACCCCAACCATTACCCATTTCATGACGGCTACCACAGCGTCTGCCCTTGACCCCGCCGCCTCACCACCCCGTCCTCGCAAACTGCAAATGGTGCTTCCACACCGCATACCTACCCTCCCATGCCTCCATAAACCCCTCCATAGCTTCTTCTTCCCCCGCTCCGCGTATCGCCAGCTCAACAGCTTGGCCAAAGAGTTCATGGAGATGCCTAGAAGCTCGAGTCAAAGCGTCATTTCCCCCAAACGAATCGGAACATGTTGTTGATATGCGGACTCGAACATTGGTGAGAGTCTTGTTGGCTTGGGCTTCGAGGTGGGTGAGAGCAAGGGAGCTGGGCTGTGTATTTTCAACCGAGGCCTTGGATTTCCGGGATAAGCGGCGGAACTGCAGAATGGGCAAGAGCCATGGTTCACGGAGATTGAACTTGGGCGCGTGGTTGGGGTGGTGGATGTCCACTTCCAGAGTCTTTAGATTGAGGAGTTTCTTTGCGGCGGATCTGCAGGCGCGGGACCAGCTGGAGAGATGTTTGGCTTTCCAGATGCAGTCGCAGCTGTTGACAGGCTCACCATAGGTGGTGTAGTGGAGTTGGAGCTTCGTGATGAGGGTCAAGTTTGTTTGGGGGACTAGGGAGAGAAACGCATTGATTCGCTTGGGGGCGTTGAAGGCGAAGACGGTTTTATTGTATAGGTATGCATTTGTCTCACCATAGATCTGTTTACAGACAAGGTTGAGTGCGTAGATCGATGAAGCCCAGTTCGTGTTCAGACCTTTGACAATGTTATACTGGCCTAGTGGTCGAGATATCCGTATGGTGGTGGGTTGTTGGGGTGCTTCTTGCGTTTCGTACTTGTAGGGCTTGTGCTCTGAGTGTACGAGACCAGACCAGAGCTTCACGGTGCGGGATTGGGGTGAATGAAATTGGAAACCTTCGGCTGCGAACTCGCAGCGAAAGGATGGTGCAAAGTAGTGTGTGTAGACTTGGTTGCGAATCTCGCCGGGGAGAGACATGAAGCCCCGGATCTTCTTTGGTGCTGGCTCTGTGCCGGGACGCGCACGGGAGAAGAGAGTAGCTGAAGAGGCCATGTTCACAATAAGATGGCAGAGAGAATGGCTCGAAAGATACTCTACTATGATAGTTTCAGCGGACGAATCGAATATGTCTGGACTCTGGAATTACTGGGGCTGCCACCGTGCAGACAATGTTTCCATGGTTGCAGGTAGACAGCAGCTGTTCGATTAGTCGACAACACCTAATGGTTAGCAAGAGGTAATGAAACCTGTATCAAGGAATGGCCATGTCTAGGTAGCAACAGTCTCTATCACGCCTCAACAATTTTCGGTGAGAGGAAAGTGAAGATGAGAGTGTGGGAGGCACCTGCCCTCACCTGACGTTCCAGGCCCCCCCCCCACGCTAAGGAAAAGTCCCGCTGCACAACCATTCCCCATCCTGCATCGTCATGTCCACTTGCTCCCATCCTACCCACCATGCCCTCTCCTCCTTCGCTCTCCCGCTCTCTTGTCCTCTCGCGTCTGCCAGCCCGCAGCTTCAGCACCACCCGCACCCTCACCTCTCGCCTCCGCCAGCCCGGCGAGCCCACTGGCCCCAACGAACCACCCATTCACATCACCACGCCAAAGACCAAGTCGCCGCTCAAGGTCTGGCCGATCCTGTTGATCTTTGGACTAGGTACTTTCTTGTTTAAGAAGATCGTAGACCAGAGAAAGGACCAGGGATACCAGCCCAAGGGACCCATTCAGGGACACTCACCAAGTGGGAAGGGTCAGGTCAAACCAAGTCATCCTCATTAGAAGCTCCCAATTGCTCTTCCACTCTGCAGAGTAAGAACAAGAGGAACCCGGCACACCAACCATGCCCGCAATCGAACAACCCCCTGCGCTTTCGCGCACCTCGCCCCTCTTCTCTCCTGACGAAGTCACTGTTATCTTTGTGCTTGGTGGACCCGGAGCGGGCAAGGGCACACAGTGCCAGAACCTCGTGTCAGACTATGGCTTCAAGCATTTGTCTGCTGGGGATTTGCTGCGTGAGGAGCAGGACAGACCGGGCAGCGAGTTTGGCGAGATGATCAAGACATACATCAAAGAGGGCACGATTGTGCCCATGGAAGTCACGATCAAGTTGTTGGAAAATGCTATGAAGGCGAGCATGGAAAGTGGGCAGAACGAGAAGAAGCTATTCTTGATCGATGGTACGTCCATGTCCTTCCTCCCTACCCCATCCCGTCGATTTTGCCACTCCAAAACCCACATGGAAACATACACTGATTCTCTCAATCTAGGCTTCCCCCGCAAACTCGACCAAGCCCACGCTTTTGAACGTTCCGTCTGCCCCTCCAAATTTACTCTCTTCTTTGATTGCTCCGAAGCCGTCATGGAAAAGCGCCTACTGCATCGCGGCGAGACCTCTGGCCGTGCAGACGATAACCTCGAATCCATCAAGAAGCGCTTCCGCACTTTTGTTGAGACGAGCATGCCCGTGGTCAAGGAATTCGAGAGCCAGGGCAGAGTAGTCAAGGTGAATGCGGAGAGGAGCCCAGAGGAGGTGTATAGGGATGTTCAGGAGAAGCTCAAGGAGAGAGGCGTTGAGCCAATCACTTTGAAGTTTGTGCAGACGCAGAATGCTTAGGCGAAATTTGAGGATTGAGCAGTAACTGCATGTTAGCTAGAGCTTTAGGGAGCATGTTAGAGATTGGCAGACGCGTACGCGAAATCTGAACTTGATTCCTCATCTTGAGATTATTGTATATGATTGCATTGTCTATGCCGCAGCACGAGGGCTGCTAATCACCAAGAACCAGAAGCCTATGCATGCATCCGAAGCACCCGCCTTTTTCCCTTGAGAATCACGCACTAACCATCAGCCCTCCGCCTCTACCTCGTCTAGTCCAAATCATCGTCGATAGCCCTCGGCTGCTGCTTCCTCTGCCCACCCCTGTTTCCAAACCTCGATGACATCTCGGCCTTTTGGTCAGCCTTCTGCGCCTCTTCCTCCCTCTCCTGCACAAATCGCTGCTTCTCCTGCTGGATGACCTGCAGGACGCCCTGCAAGCTGTTCCGCCACAAATCCAACCGCGAAGCCACCTCTCTCCACTGGTTGTCGCCAAAGACGCGATATGTGGAGCGGTGAATGAGGAACGTCTGGTTGGACTGACTGAGCTTGCCCTCGACGAGACCGGCGCGGATCACGTCGATAACCCACATCTCGACGTCCTCATTGGGGATTTGCAGGGCCTTGGCAATGCTCTCGTAGGGGAGGGAGCGCGTCTGTCCTGCTGAGGCCGCCATAGAGGCCAATGTGAGGAGGCGGATCTTACGATTTAGAGCATCGCCGTCAAGGCCGGACTCGGCAACCCAACCGTCGTGCTCGTCCTTGAAGTCGTTGTAGTCGTCCAGCAGATCCGAGTTGAAGATTTCGAGGAGCTGGAAGTATATAGGGTCGGAGTTGCGCAGAGCCTGAATGGAGTCCAGTTCGGTGAGGTCTTGGAAGTCGAAGTGGTTGGGGTGTGTGAGGGCGGCCTTGAGCGCGCGAAGGGAGAGATCGCGAGCCTCTTGGCTTGAGACTTCTTCCGAAGAGAATGTGCGCAGAGCGCGGATGAGGTATGTGTACGCCTGTTCATCTTCACCAGCGTCGGCTGCGACATCGCTAATTGCTAGGTACAGCTTGCGGTTCTCATCGCTGCTGGTTTCCCATGCCTCCAACCAGGCGTCCAGTTGCATCAGCTGTGGGCGCAGAGTCTCGAAGTTGGAGGTGGCGCGGATGATGCGGAGGATGGAGAGGAAGACGTGGTACCTCACCTCGCTGTTGGCTGGGGTGGTGTTGAAGATTGTGCTGAGAATCGAAAGGGCGAGGCCGCCACCGTTCTGGGGTGACGAGGAGATTGGCGCGCTCAGATTGTTGCAGATCTTGGGCAGGTACATGGAAACATTTGGCGACTGCATCACAAGGTGGATGAGCAGGTTGTATGCTGCTATGAATTCTGTTTTGCGCACAATGTCAGCCGCGCCTGTCTCGCATCATTTGCGAAAATCCCATTGCCCATACCCTTTTCTGGTGCCTGGTTCAGCGCCTGACTGCCGACTACCAGCTTCTTGAGGACCTCATCCTTCTTGTTCTCCTTGAGCAGATCCGCGCTCTCGCCCTGCAGATTGGAACTCTCGTCGCCCTGAGATTTTTTGAGGCCGTCAATGTATTGTGCGAACTCGTCGGTAAGCTCCTCAAAGGTACCCTCGATGAGGAGTGTGTTCTTGGGACCCGGCATGGTGTATTTTCGTCTCGAATTCGGCCTGGGGACGTAGAAGGGGGGGCGGTGGACACAGTGCGCGGGGCTGGTGGGCGGCGTCGTCAATGAGGTTGCGCTTCCTGTGGTGGGATGCCAAGACTTTCAAAATTCGACATCACCGAGTGTTATCGATAGGTGCACAGACCATGTACGAGTAAAAGAGACAAAAAGATGTGCACGGCTGTGAGTCCACAGATTAACTACACCACGGTAATCAACTACACTAAAGCTTGCTATGATTATATAGAATCAACATATCATGCTGGGGAACACCAAGATATTCCCCGTTCTTTCTGCATTCTACTTCTCAGAACCACTGCCTTCTACTTTCACGAGTTTCAGAGTCACGGGAGTAATGCTCTCTTTGGTATCACTGACTCCTGCATAATGTTAGTTTGAATGCTGATGTCACCACCTCAACGTACATACCATCGTATAGCGCTACACTATAGGTACCCCCATTGCGCTGGACAGCTACAAACGTTCGGTCCTTCAAGCTACTCCCATCGCTCACCCCCAAAACACCGTTGTCCTTGGTGAATGTTGCCCACTGCATCTGGACGCCGCATGGGATAGTATAACTTGACATCTGGATCGCGTAGAGAAGAACGTTATTAGGCCCTTGGAGGGCGACCTGGTGCGTCAAATTGTCGATTGCATTCAGGCTCCAGGTGCCAGTTGGATCGTACTTAGTCACATAGAATTGGCTGGCTTGACTCTGGGAATTTGACAGGGTGTAGCTAATTGCTCCGCTTTCGAGAGACACCCATTGATTTGCTAGAGCAGTTGTGTCACTGTGATCCACGTCAGCTTTTAGGTATTAATCGACTGTCAACTGCAAAACTCACGACTCAACCTGCAACATGAAGCGTGCTCTTCCTGAGTCGGGAGCTGCTCGTGGAGTAAATGGCGATGCTGCTGCAAGACCAGCAAGTGCCGCGGCGAGAAACAGGAGGGACTTCATGATGGACGATAGCTAATGGTGTGTCGGTACAAGATGCGTTCTTTGTTCTGGGCTTTCCTTGCCGTATTAAAGTAAGGCTTGTTTGGGAGGAGCGAGGCAGAAGAGACGAAGTAGCAAAATAAAAGAGTGACGGCCTGCTGCTTTACTAAGAGTGCTCTAGAAGGCCTATATATACCCTTGCCTCAGGTAAGCCCTAGCCCCTTATCCAACTATACAAAATACTCTCTGCAACGGAACAATGGCTGATTTCGAATCTAGTCCACCTTGCTTACACTGGTTCTAGACAGTCTTGAGGACCATTCATTCTACTTATTTTCTTCCAACTGTGACGAGCGATCTACTGACAATATCATTGCTTTATTACGCAGCTCAAGATATCTGCCAAACGCTGCATCTTGTATTCCATGAGAAATCTGTGTTCACTTGTGTACTAAGAATGACCAGTGAAAAGAGAGCATGTATGCAGGTACCGCACATACCTACATAAATTACCGCTCGGCTAGTTACCGGCCAGATGGGTCACCCTGTCCTCCCGTTGGGCTAGATCAGGGGGAATTCATGCTACGATATGTGCTGTAACAGATGCGGTAGCTCCGATGATCATTCCTACGAGGCAGATACTCGTGTTGTATGCTTCGGCGAGCCTAGCCACGAGAGGAGACCACATAGATGGCGTCACACTAGATCGTGTGGCGATCGCAGATTCAGAGTCTGCTTTGTCTGTGTATAGCCTCGATAGCGCTGGTCACATGTTTTTCAGTCAGCACTACGGGAGGACTCTGGTTTACTTAAACTATATATTGGTTCGGTAGAGTGATTGTCGTCTTTCCCTGTTGTTCTTGGGCTCTTTCCTTGCTGTGAGTGGGGCTGCTGGGGAGGAGCGAGATGGAGAAAAGAAGAAGGAATTGTAGAGTGTATTGAAGGAATGATAGTTTGTTATCCTAGTGATAGTGATACAGAATATCTTATGATGTTCCCCTAGCCAACCACACACTATGAGTGCCCTGTACAATGGTGCAAACTCCTCCCTCTTTGAGTTTGGCAAGTTGGCATCGTCATGCTCCCAACACCTTCCAAATACCCCCTATTCGTTAGAGTTTTAATGCCTAGTAATTATACCTGAGCCCCTAGTCCCGTATTGGTAAATTTTATTGTAGTAATTTGACAATTCGGGCCTATTTTTGTCCTGCCGAATTTTCCTCGGCAACTCTGCTTTGCTTACGCCTAGGCTTTCCTCTGCGTTAAATTGGGGCCCAAGGTCCCTTTTGCTGAGGCTTTTGGGAAGGTTGAAGCTTGTTACTATAGTGGTAAGGCTGGTCTAGAAGGTTGATACGAGGCTCTTCGGTACGGTGGTAAGTCAGGCTCGTGGGCTGAGACTGAAGACGTCTGGCTCCTCTACTCCCCAGCACTAACCCCCCATAACAATAGATAAACTCTCTGATCAAATCACCAATTGAGCTGATACAAAAGCGTTTCTTCTAGAGTTCTTGGGCTCTTTCCTTATTGTAGGTAGGGCTGCTAGAGAGGACCTAGGTACCATGGATGAGGTGGAGGAGGAAAAGTAGAGTGGAGTGAAAGAATGATAGTTCGCTGTCCTTCCCGGAAGTGCTCCAGAAGACCTCTCTACACCCCTTTATACAACCATAGACTACGGGCATCCTGTACGACGGCACAGTAGTGCCCTGTATACTCCTGGCGAAAGCTTGGTTGATGATCCGGTCGGGACTACTTTGACACTGGATAGGCAGCCTCTCACTGAGATTGAATGATCAGGTCGAGTTTACCCCTTCTTTCCTGCGACCACAGTGATATTGGTAACACCAAGACTGAGCTGTGATAGGTTCTTCACTCTTACTCACCAGGCTTGTCATCAGCATAACACCGAATGCACCTGGAGCATTCGCCACTGGCCGACGCTAAACTAATCCGAACAATCGTCCACCAAAAAAAATTGAACTAGCCGCTCTGGTAGGTACCGGTAGACACTTTCTGCTATAGTACGAAAAGTACTTACACGTCCAGGGTCACGCACCATACCAAGCAGACAATTTTACTCTTCGTCAAATGATTAAAATCCTTCTCAGCCATTTCGAGCCCTACTCGAGCTTCCATGAGAAGTGAAAGATGATATATGTGTTACTGTGTTTGGAGCCAAAAGGGCCGTCTTCGTCGGGCGACTAGAAAACCAAAGAGGACGAAATATGCATCCAACGCATTGACCTGCTGTCTACTCATTAGCAGATCTACGTAGAGACCTGCGAAATATGTATCAAGCATGTTCATCTCGATTTGGAAGATCTAGAAATGGAGCTGGATAGGCTTTCTGGATTTGGCTAGATAGATGTCTTCAAGATAAGTCATGCTCGCCCGTCTGGGTATTTATTTATGCTACAGCCTTCACACAACGAAAAAGATGACCCAATGGTCTGCGTAATTGCATCATTTCTTCAATTGCTACCACATCTACATCTTGTCACCTTAATTAGCATATATCGTAGTTCTCGGAGATGAGAAACATTGAGTCGCGTGTCAGACTCTATGTAGATAACCTGATCATGTGGAGTAATAGCTGGAAAGAGCTCCGCTTAATTCCAACCAGCTTCTATATGCTTCAGTTTCAGCACTTCATCTTAGGAAGATTTCGGGACCTCGTTGAGCAAGCGGACCACCGCCATACACAGCCTCTTCGTGGAACAAACAAACACTGGCCGGGGATGGAGATCGCTCAGAGCCTTCAGTCCGCATTCATCGATCCACCTTGGCAGACACGCCTGGCTCCTTTGTAGAACCACAGAATCACGTAACTTTACAGCAACTGCCTCCTCAAGACAATTTATCAAGTGCAGATTCAGTGAGGATCTGGAGTTAATCTCCGAGATTGAAGCTGGTAAAGAACTCCTTATAGTCGTCAAGCGTGGCCGGACAGCAGCTGTTGAGGAGAAGACTACACGGCTTACTGCGCTTGATCTTTGAAATTGCTTGGAAACATGACCTGATCGCAGATCCAGATGGAAACAAGATACTGGCTGTGCTCCCTTGACAGTGAGACATAGGCCATTCGTCATAAGACGGAAATACGAAACCTTAAGTGGCTTGTTTTTTGATAGAAAGAATATGAACGAACACTTCGAGATGTAATGAAGCTTTAGTAGTAAACGAAATGCCGAAGAAGTGCATTGTGGGGTTACCAGGATTGAAATTGGCACAGCTTTCAGCCGGCATCACATATATTCGAACTGCCATAATTTAGCTTGGCTTCTACTTAATAACTTAAAGTCACTTACGGAAGTCAGTGCTATGATGATGAAAATTCACTTTTTCCGCACCGTGATGCAGAGAGTATAATTCCATCCAATGGATTTTTTAACCTCGTCGGTCCCACCTATATGAGTTAGGAGCGACCACTGCTTCCAGCTTTCATTCTCATACTTTTTATCATCCAACATGAAGCTTACTACCATTGTTCCATCGTTTCTACTAGCCACACTAGGTTTGTCCCAGACCACACCTGCTGGCTTTTCACCTGCTACAAACGTGACACTGGACCTGTACTATGGCACAGCCTACATCAGCCCCGGCCTCATCGTCAGGAAATCCAGTACGCGAAACCCTACCTGCCATGCAGGTCCGCAAACCACCCGCTAACGTAGGACTTATAGTAACCCAATCCGCCCCAAAAATCGGTCTCACAAACACAACACTCACAGGGAAATACCTCCTCGCCATGATCGGTATGATCCTCGAATCCCGCCGCACCCCGGATCCTCACTCTTCCCCATTCTAACCCCCAGCAGACATCGACGGCTCCCAAAACGCGCGCCAAACAACCGTTCTTCACGCCCTCCTCTCTGACTTCACACCATCCGGTACAACTCTCAACACCACGACCCTACTCACCACCAAATCCACCTCGCCATCCTCATACTTTGGCCCTGCGCCACCGGCCGGCAGCCCACCAACACACCGCTACGTGTTTCTACTGCATGAACAGCCTGCAGGATTTGCGGTGCCAGCGGCGCATAAGCAAGCTGTGAGTAGTCGGTTTGGAATCGATTGGGTTGCGTTTATGAAGGATGCGGGGTTGGGGGCACCGGTGGCGGGGAATTGGTTGCAGGTTAAGAGTGGGGATAATACAAAGAGAAGGGTGTGAGAGAGTGGGGGGTATTCTATGCGAAGTGTGTGGTGTTGGGAAGGGAAGGCAAGGCTGGGAAGGTGGGAAGGCTGGGTATTCTATGGGTTATGCTATTTGCTGTGTTATGGTGTACGGAGAAACATGAGGGTCTTCGTTGGTTCGATGTGTAGTGGATGTACAAATTGTTGATTACCGTTTTAATCTGACAAAAATTGTTCCTTTGTAACATGATGGTATGGACGCCTAGCACCTTTCATAGTCTGCTGATAGTATTGCATCAACGAGTGCGGACAGTTTCTATAGGTTGGGATAGTATGAATAACGAGAGCAGAGCATCTCACATACAAGTAAAGACAGGCAATTATCGCCTTAACCCCTCTATCCTTTAGTACTCACTTCGCCCCCTCTCCAAGTCTAAGATAAGCTTGCTCGGGATTCCTCGTCAACATATCAATGACCCCCCATCCATCATACGCCTCGGGCACAGCCCTCAACTCAAACGCCCAAATCACCAACACAAGCGCAATCCTCAACTCCAAATACGCCAACTTCCTGCCATAACAACCCCTCTGACCCGCTCCAAACTGCAACTGCGGTCCTGCCATTGGGTCAAACACTTCCTTGCCCTCTTGGTCGCGAACTAGCCATCGCTGTGGATCAAACTCGGCAATGGTGTCTGGGTCCCATGTTCCCGTCTTCCCACCACCGGCTTTGTGGTACGATGTGCTGCGCAGGGAATCGGGGATCGGCCAGGGGGGCGCATTGACACCAGCGTGAATAGTGACAAATGTGACGCGGGTCCCCTTTGGAATCACGTGGCCGAGGACAACGGCATCGCGGGTTGCGGTGCGCGCAGGCAGAGCGGACGTGGTGGAGCAGCGTATGCATTCTTCGAGCACAGCGTCGAGGTAGTGGTTCGTGCTTGTTGCGATTTCTTGGGCACTTGGGGTGCGGGAGGTTGCGCGGGCGGCGGGGAAGGTGGCATGGAGGGAGGTGCGGAGAGCGAGTTGGACGGAAGGGTATTTGGTGAGGAATTTCACGGACCAGAGCAGGGTGGTGGAGGTTGTGTCGTGGCCGGCTATCATGAGGCCGAAGAGCTTGGGTGGAGGTCTACGTTAGCTCGAGTCATCTGTGAGATGGAGGAACGGGATGGGCGATCTTGTATCGGCGTGGGAAAAGAGCTTACATCGTCTTTGATTGCTGGCGAATAGTACATCGGCGCCCTCCCTTCCTTTTCCGCAGCCATTTGTTCTCTGCGTAGTACATGGTCTACCCCATTTGTGATGACGATTTCCTGGTCGTCTTTCATCTTCGCCAATCTCTCCTCTGCAAGCCTGATCTGCTCCGTCATCACTGTATCCTTAACCCTCCAATGCTTTCTCAGCGACGGATAGTATCTTTGCAGAAACCCCCTAATAATTGGATACGGGCTCTTGAGCGTCTCCTCAATACTATCCGTCAGTCTCAACACTGCCTCAAATATAGCCTCTGCTGGCACTCTCTCGAAGACTACCTCCTCATTAGCACCACCAGGCAACTGCATACTTTTGTTCGAAGCTAACAGCTCAACCGACTTCCTTGTTGCAGTGTCCTCTGCACCGCCAAACACAGCGGCCCAAATCGCCTCGAGAGAGGCCTCGTATACGTCGTGCTTGACACTGAACGGTCGGCCTTGAGCAAGTCTCATCTTCTCCCTCCACAGTGCGACCATGTCTGAGAACTTTTCATGCAATTGCGGAGCCGCCACGCTATTGAGGAAGGCAGGAGTCATGAGGTCTGAGACTAACTTGCGCTGTGCACGCCACGCTTCATTTGTGACGAGATTGGCGTGGAACTGCGGTGTGACACCCCAGAAGATGTCACCTATTAAATCGGGTTTGTCGAACTCTTTCGTACGTCGCATGAGGATGTCCTGTTGACATTGTTATTCAGGAGTTCGCTCGTTGCCGCGAAGTTAATGAGTCGGGTTTCATGTGGCATTCGAGAATCGCCTCTACTACTCCAACATACCTGTGCCTCACGAAAGTCATCAATGACAATCCATTGTCTCCGGAACAAACCAACCCACAACTGTACGATGGGAGAATTGTGCCGCTCATTGTGGGTTTTGAACCAGTCGCTGACAGTCTTGGATGTTTTCAAATGATGAAGCATGGAAGGGATATCACCAAAGATTGAGCGTGTTGCTTCTGGATTGTAGGGTATTCCTGGAATAGGTTTGGGTAAAAGCCATAAGTAGAATGAGTAGAGTGCTGCAAAGACTATCGCTGTGACGATGACGGGTGTGGATGCGATAGTATTATCGAGGCCTTTAGTTGACGCCATGGTCCGCGACAATGTAGATGAACTGCTTGAAAATCAGTGAGATTTTTGAAAAGACAGAAACAATGTGGGAGATTATCGTTTGTGTTCAGTATTGTATGCATATATAGTTACTCAATGTGACGATCACTGCTCTACCGGTACCACAGAGCACAGCATCCGACGTCCACTCCATATACACGCTGCTTGACTGTCACGACCTATGCGGTTCAACCGATTAACCGTCGGGTTACCGATACTACGCATGTAACTACCCAGCAGTAAGCGATGTAGTGCACCCACACAGTGTATCACCCCTAACAAATCGAGTTTACTGCTGACAGAGTCGTATTATAGCAGCAGGATTACGACAGGTTGGCGCATCAAACTTCGCATTTTCCTGCATGTGCTTATGGATCTCCCATAACGACGCCTATATGTGCGGAAATGCTGATGGCCAATAGTGCAAAAGCACCATAATCCCAATGTGGACAGACATTGCTGTGTCGGCGAATCGCGATCATAAACTGTAAGCACGAGAGCGGAGTGCTAAATCTGCAACATCGCGCTTCAGGCGCTCTGGGTAAAACCCTCGGCTCTTTACAACATCAACGGTTCAAGCGCTTTCTCCTAGTAGAGCTGATAATGCAGTCTAGATTAGTTTTCAGACATCTCACGTGCACTACCATTCCGGTCTGGTACGAGCTACGTCAGTACCTTGTAATGCAAGAAGATCGACCAGCCACAGTGTTGTGGAATCGAATCCTTGGCCGTCGAAAGGGAGAATCCAATGGTCTTCGAAAAGGGTTTGAGGAAGCAAGTCATTGCTAAGGACCTTCAGCTGATATTGTATCTGTCCATCTCTTCATCGATCCAGCTTCCGTGGTTCACTCTGGTCCGCCGCCTCCACCGCTCCCGATCTTCACGCAGGCGGGTCTCCCATCCATCATTTCCATGGACCGATTCTGCACGACTTATGTCAGCGCTGACCTTTCGTGGATCCACGAAGTCTGGCAAGTACTGATTGCCAAAGTCATAACTAAGCCGTCCCATATGCAGGCGTCCGCTGCCACTATTCCGTCCAGTACGAACAGAATTTGTCTTTTCAAGCGTGAGTGGGGTGGATGTTGCCCTTTGATCCTGGACGCTCTGAGGAATCCGGCTTTGATCTGACTCTGTTCGATCACGTACAAGCTGGACAAGTTTACCCAAAACGGCGAACTCAAGTTTGAGTTTGATGGAGTACACAACGCCCTTCAGTGTCGTTTCAATCAGATACAGACTGGCAAATGCCACGCCAAGTAGAGCCAAGTCCATGGATATAATAATGATATTGATAACCAGGAGCTGATACATAGTTTTTCGCACCATTGCATTCTTGAGATGGCCATTTCCAGATGCGTTGTCGATGCTTTGCACATCGTCTTGTATGGATTCAGATAGCTTCAACAACCGCACTGTCTCCTTGATGTATATGATGGAGAGGATGGTCTCCTGTAAGAAGAACCCAATCATCTGAATCTTTTCCATGATTGTGTATCCGCTGACAAAACGTTGCAGCGTAGTACGAGTAAGGGTGTTTGAGTTCGAGCCGAAAGTGAGGACAGTGGTCGTTGAGTGTAGAATACAGCCGTTGATGATAATCATATAGAGAGTCCAGCGAAGGACGCGACGAGAATTCGTGAGTAGGTGCAAGCGTGACCAAAGGACAACTGATTGTCCTGCCTATCATTAACGCTCAAACTCTGTACAATCTTATGTTGCACCTTACCTGTAACCATTGTGTACCATCCAATAGTCAACAGGACCACAGCAACATACCCCTCATCACGTCCAGGATCCAGCAATTGGAAGAACTTGATCAGGAATCCAAGTGAATATGGTATGATCCCAAACGCGCTAACAATCATGGACCAAAAGTACCAGCCTCGAAAGCGCTGAAATGTGACAAAGACAATGACGATGAGTTCCAGAGCATTGTATAGTGAAAGACCGAGCAGGAAAGCAATAATAATTTTTAGTGAGAGGGAGTCGCCCGTATATCCTAAAAGAGCACGTCAGTACAGCCATGCCAGCGAAAACGATTCACATACCTCCAGTGATTCCCGCGCCTGCAGATTCAAGAGCGCCTTGGGCAGGTGTAGGCGCTGGATTGTAGGCGGACGTCGTTGTACTCGGGACAGCGCTCGTCATTCTATTGTAGTCCAATGTCGGTCAACAATTGCAAGCGCATCCTCGTCGCTGAGATGTTGCAAATGGCCACGCAGACTGCCCTCCACATAGTAGTACCCACTCTATCAGTAGGCAGTGGTAATCTTGTGGCAGCGAACAATAAAGCTATACAGACGTCTGATGTTTCGCGAAGGAGCAATAAACAAGTTTGAGCCCATCGACGGTGCGTGCACTGAATTCTCCGTACGCGGTCCAGTAATTAGGAAAGTCTGCCGGCAGATGCATGAGATATGACGTGGGGCTTCTCCACGTACTAATGGTTGAGGGCTGAAAGTCTGGGGTAGGTCGGCCCTACAAATGGCCTCATTCTTCTGTGTTGGCAATGATGTGCAAGGTGAAATATTCAACGGCCACGCTGTTTTTGGTTTGAAACCATCGCTTTGGAAAACAATCGACTCATGAACATAACGAAATCCAGCTTGGGGGAATATTATACAGTCATGACGTCGATGGCTGTCTCAATCGCCTGTAGGTAACAGCTGCAGCCCGCGTTGCTCAATTCCACTTTGGCATGGCGCCAACATCGACACAGCTGAGATCCCACATCATGCCGTCGAGATAACGTTATGTCTACGGCAGCGCCAGTAGATCACTGATGTGCAATCGGCCAATACGTTGGAGATCGCGACTGAGTTCTCAACATCTGCACTGTACCATCAACACCGCATTCATACATGTTGCTGTTGCTGTACATGTCGTTCCCCGGCGTCGTGGAGTTCGAGGATGATCTGATGGTGCTGAACATTGAATAAATTGAAGTAGAGAGCCTGAAGGATCTTTTGTAAGTAAATCCTAATGGCACAAGCAATAGAGATTTCGGTGTGTGGTGGAGAGTCGTTAGTGGAAGTGCCATTGGTGTATGCATTGTCGGCCCTACTTACCTTCTTTTCCCCCTAGGGCGCTCCTGTCAAACCAGATAATTGGGACCCGGAACTACTCTCCTGCAACCTTCATGGTGTGCTAGATATAGAAATTCCGGGGAATATGACTTTACCGAACGTTTTCAATTGGAAACCTCAAGATAGCCAATGTAAGATCAGTGCATGCTTGAGAATTTGTACGAGTTTGAGAATCCCTGAGAGAAGCATTCTAGAACAAGAAATTTTCTAACCAAATTCTCTACCTTTACTTGTCCTCTAAATGCTCTACCGTAGCCTGAACTCATAAGATGTAGCTTTCTATCAGCTCCAAATATCCCCCATTCTTCTCCCCCATTACTGACTAGGTACTTCCTTACTCGCCTCCCCAACCTCCTCGACCCTCTCCTCCTCTTCGGCAGGAAAATCCCCCTCCACAACCCCAAACACACCAATGTTACTCCTGCCCATGCCACCTCCTTTCTTCTCCGTCTCCTCGCTCTCCTTTAGGACAAGCTTCCCCTGCCTAGCCCCTTCATCCTCATCGAATGTGAAAACCCTCCAATCCGCATTGAAAAACATGCGGTTTGCCACTGCCGTTCTCAAAAAACCAGAGTGCGACACCACGGCAATGACCTTCTCGGGCCGCGAGTAAAGCTCTCGGAGTGCAGATTGGCCGCGAGCGAGGATGGCGCGCTGGGTGAAGGCGTAGGGGTTGGAAGAGATTTTTGTCGTTTTGTCGGGAAAAGAAGGGTCAACGTGTGAAAAGTCGTATTGTGGGAATTCGGAGGATATGACATCGAGAGGTGAGCCAGTGTCGCAGGGTTTGTCGGCGTTTTCTTGCCACAGTGCTGAGGGGACAACTATTGAAGGGCTGGTTAGATGTGTCGGGAGAACTGGATCGGGTGATGCTGGATATAGTGGATATAGTATACATTCAAGTTCTCCCCATGGTGATTAATGTGAAAGACTTTAAACATACGCGACGAGAAAAGGCAACATGATCTTGAGCTTTCAAACCAATGGCCTTGACTTACCTGGAACACCCTTTTTGATAAGCCAATCCAACCCAATCGTGGCAGTTTGGAGCGTTCTTCTCTGCGCGCTCACTACAATACGCTCTACCTGGTTCCCAATCTCACTGTTCCTGAGACTTTCTTGCAATTCAAGACATTGTTGTTTGCCAAGCTCTGTCAATGGTGCATCGCGAATGCTCCAGTCACTGGAGACGTTGTGCTCAGCCTGAGCATGGCGAATCAGAATTAGGGTCGGTGGCATGTTATGATGCCAGGAATAGTGCAACTAGAAATGATTGTAATGTAGAACAATGCTTTCCACGTGTAGGCGAAGTTTGTAAAAGTGTAGCGATTGCGTAAAGTTTCCTTGTCAAGAGGAACGATTCAATGTTCGCAAAGATTAGTGGGGCAGAAGGTAGACAGCGTCATCATGCAGCTGTGCCTTGACCGTCACCACATGCATGAAGATAGAATGGCGCTATGTCAGCACCGAGTCCTTTGAATTTTTGGGTACTTTCAAAAGATATGTATGTTCATCATATGCGTCCGTAGACATTCGTTATCATGCATGTATTTCTATGCCACGCCAGTACTAGGATGGGGTGCATGGATGCAGTCGATTATGACTCCATCTTGTCCTCCTCCTCGTCATCGTCATCGCCCTCTAGTGACTTCTTGGCCAACTTTTCAGCCTCTTCCAGGATATGTTTGGGTACCTCCTCGTGCCTACCCTTGGTGGGTCCTGCGAGGTTGCTAATCCATGTCATCTCCAATTCAAACTCCTTGTCCTTGTTGTCGTCGTGCGCGACATAAATGATACGCGCAGCCTCCTTGACGCCGTCTTCAAGGGAAAGCTCACCATCGGCAAGGTTTAGCTTCTCGAGCTCTGACTTGGCAATTTGTCGGCCCTTGCCTGTCGCGGCGCCATAATAGCCCTAGTCTGGTCAATAAAATTCTTTAGAACAGGAAGTACAGCTCATACCCAGTATAGACCGCTTGGCTCGATCATGTATAGCGATGGACCGCCATGCTTTGCGCCCTCTTTCTTGCCGCCAGAGCCTACCTTGGGTCCTGAACCAACCTGGGCATCCACAGGCAGCTCCTCCTCTGAATCCCATCCAGCGATGATGGCTGTGATACCGAATGGTCGTACACTGGAGTAGAGTGTGTATGCTTGGGCATAGCTCCCCATACGATCGGCGAGCGAGGAGACAGGGATGGGCGCTTTATATAGCTGCCGCCACTGGGCTGCCTCATCGCGAGCTCTTGAAACGAAGTGGCGACCGTCGGGGAGGAGACCTGAAGAGACCTAAACCGAGACTGTGAGCTTGCCGTGAACCATTGCTCGACTTGTGCCACTCACTATGCCCATATTCCTGTCTACCGTTGCTATCCTCTTGTTTGCGCCAGCCTTGAGTAGCTTGCTGCTGACAAGCTTCTCCAAAGCCAGTACAACACCGTCCTTGCACTTGATGCCAACCGCTGTGCCACCGTTTTCTACCGCCTTGACCGCATATTCAACCTGTCCAAATGAGCCTTGACGTCGCAGTGGAATGACGTGCGGGTGTGTACCTGGAAATTGCGACCATCGGGCGAGAAGACGGAGTTGGACAGGTCGTAGCCTGTACCTATTGAAGTCTATGAGGACGATTAGTCCATTACCCCCCCACACAAACATTGCCGCTGAGGCTTACCATATTGTTTGTGGGTGAAGTTGCAGAGGTGCTCTATACAACCACAACTACAGCCGTTCTGGAAGAAACTTTCGGTTGGTGCGATAATGTGCTGGGTTTTGAGGTATAGATTCCTGGTGTTGATGCAGAGCACTGTAGGCAGTTGTGAGCTGCGCGGCGAGCTCCAACTAGCGCTGCCAAGCCCGTTGAACACCTCCAGGGCTCTCCAACCAAAGGCTCCCACCGATGTCAAACAACCCCACCATTCAGAACAACAAACATCATTTTATCATGCACAGCAGGACGGATCTCTTGGCTTTTAGGGCAAACCCGTGAGGCTGCTGTTGGGTACAAGCATATTGGGCACGAATTGCGTACAACCCTCCCCACATGCCCGGATCGGGGCGCTCCAATTCGTGAACGACTACGCTCGAAAGTGTATCCGCGCATATAGACTTGCTGAGTTGTCGTCCAGGCCCCATTCCAGTCTACAGGCAGCAAAAGTTGTTCATTGGCTGTCCGGTTGCTAGCCGGACGACTTAAGTTTCAGCTTCGTCACTAATTGGACTGTGGCCGAACAAAATTATCAGAATCATCCCGCCTTCACGCATGACCCAACAAGGCGCTACTACACTTGACGGTACATAAGGGAACGACTACCACGCCGCATGCCTGTGACTCCTGCCACCTTCCTCGCACCTTTTGTTTTGCTTCTTCTCTATCAGTGGACGGCTTATTGTTCGTTCTGTGCCGTACAACGAACTGCCGCACAAAGACGCACTGGTGGTAGGCGTCAATACATACTGGTCAGCGCCCAACGCACGTGCCGAGATCGAGATTCAACACAATCAAGACAAACAGCAGATTGCAAAGCTAGGATAGTAGAGCAGGTTCCACTGATTGATTGCTTTATTGAAGCAGTGATTTGACTCGAAAGTCTGATTTCGTCGAGTCATCCACTCTAGTGCTCTTACCCGTCCGATACGTGGCGATGCAACCAATGCTCGCCCACTACTGCTCCTGCACTTATAACACAGCTGTCCTTTACAGCCCCTCCATCTTTTCAGAGAACATTTCTTGCTCACACGTACGACCAAGTTATAGAACCGACTTAGGGCTTCACTACTAACCGTTACGTCATAGTGTGGCGCAATATCAACGGGCATCAACATTCAGGCCAAACCCAAAGAAGACGAAAAGATGCAGCAAGATGAGCTCACGCAGCTGTTCTCGACTCACATGTCGCTTTCGCAGAACATGCCCCAGCAAATTCAGCAACAAGCACGTCAAGAAGAGCCAGTGCGTCAACAGCAGCAGCAGCCGCGAGAGCAGACCCCTAAACAGATCGTCTATGCTTCCCAGCATTATACCCACACACATCATGTCGCCCCTGCTCGCAGTGTCTCTGAACCGTCGTTGAAAACCCACATCGACCGTGCAGACCTAGCCAGGGTGCTCCTACGCAACAGTATCGATCCATCTCTCCTCTTTCCTTCGCAGATAGATCTTTTTCAAAACGCAGATGATGATCAGCGACTCCGTTTGCTAGAACTATGGCGCATCTCGCCCCCAACAGGTCGCCAAGGCCACCCAGACGGCACTGACTACAACATGTCGCGGCAGCTGTACGACTGGCCGCCAACAAGCATCGCCCAGGAAGAAGCCATGGCAAAACTCAGATATGAGAGACAACAGGCAGAAGCTCAACAGCAAGAAGACATCCGCCAGCATGAGCAGCAGCTGGAGCAGAGCATGAACTTGGGGGGCACTTCGCCGGCAGAACCATACATGGCGTCGGGCTACGAGCTGATGGCAAGGCGCGACTACGAAGAATCGTCACGCAGAGAGAAGGAGAGGGAGAGGGAGAGGAATGCAAGAGAGGCGAATCAGTACAATCAGGCCACCGATCCAGTATACAATCAGACTGTCAACAACGGTGGGCTATGGCAGAAGCATGTGGGCAGCATACTAGACATGGAGAACAACTACGGGGCCTTTGTATACGCTAGCGAGAACAACTTCCAGCCTGTCATGTATGCGGATGAGGAAATGGTTATGTAAGGGCAGAAAGCGAGCGATGAAGATTTGTACATGTTGAAGATGTTGAAAGGAATATGCATTTCGCTTGTTATACCCCAGGACTTTTCATGGTTTGCAACGGTCTAGGAGGGTGGAGAGAGCAAGGATGGTTTTGCAAAGCATGTTTCAACAAGACGGATACCCATAGATATGAATACTATCACCAGACTTAGGGATGTGCAGTAAATGTGATTTCTTCCATGCACATGTCTTCTTATAGTGGTGCAGGTCGCAAATGCTATCAACCGAGACTCCATTTACGCGCGTACACCACATATCTACACTGTATCTTGTCCTCGCTTTGTCTCCTAATTCATTCGTTCCCATAAGCCATATCTCCAAGAGGCAGCCGAGCAACCAGCCAGCTTGATTTATTTCTTCGCCCTGGAACTCGGCCACTTCTTCCAACCTCTTCCATGCCCCTTCTGCTTCCACTCCTGGATCAAAGCCGGCATATTCAGCATAGCCTGCCTCCTCATCTCCAGTCTTCCCTTTAGCGTCCTTTCCCACAGCTTTCCCTTGACTCTCTGCCCCTCGCCCGTGCCCTTGACTTGCAACCCCTTCTCCATCCTCCTGCGCTCCTTCTCGCCCGGCTTCTTAATCGTCCATGGTAGCAAATCCACAACCCCGTATTCACTGGCTAATTTGACCAAGTCAGCCTGCTTGCGCAGACCATAGACGGGGGAGCGCCAGCGCCCTGTTGTGAAGTTCTTGGAGGGGAGAAATGGGTTCGGGTAGGGCAGGTCGTAGGCTTCTGGTGGGATGGAAGAGTTTCTGGGAGCGCTCGAGGGGATGAGATTTTCCTGGGACGCAGGCACGACTTCTGTGGTGGCGGCATAGGGGTCGCTGGGCGGGGTTGTGGATATTATGGTTGGGTCTTCATGCGTGGATTGTGAAGGAGGTGTGGGTGGTTGTGATAATATGGAGGAGA